ATGGTAGATGTGCACGCATTGCGGACGTTACAATCACACCGGCGCTTGACAATAAGTCGCGCGAGGAATTATACGTGAGCACATATGTATACCAATGTTTCTGTTATTTGGCAAAAGTAGAATTACCAAAACTTGAAAAATTAATTGAGTGTAAAAAAAATCGAATCGCATTAAATATTCAACGTTGATGTTACGTAAATTCATGAAAGCTAGATAATTACTATAATATGAAACGTTCCAATCGCTATATATGGAGTATTTTTGGCGATGTTCTTTTAGATATTTTTATATACAGTCTAAAAAAATATCAATTGTTTATAATTTTTTAAATGTATTATTTATTTTAAAAATGTGTATATTATAATATACATATAATACTTCATCGTTGATATTGTCGATTCGTGTTTGTTCTCTTTGAAATCCTAATTAAAATGCAATTTCTTGGTCGATTTTATACGAAATTCTGTTTATCTCAGGAATTTTGTTTCTGTTTTTTTTTTTTTTTTATTATAATTTCGAGAAGTCCGAATGACATTTAAAGTCATCTGTAAAGTACATTCCGTTACACGTCGTATGGCGAACGTGGGACACTATAAACGCGAGCAGTGGGTGCTAATAATACGAACATATGGTATCGCGGCAGGTGGTACCGGTAATAATATATTGACAGCAGCTGCTGAATATCGGCGTATGTGTTATCGGGTTTTTCTCGACACTTTCGAAAGCCATCAAGATCCATCCGACACAAAGTGTCTCGAAAGATATGTGTATCATCTTCAATATGTCGTTCAACAACTAAATAATCTTGGCGGAAGAAAAGTTAAATACATATGCGTATTACCAAGCGTTCCAATTAGCCCGAATCCACCCAAAGTCACGATCGCGACCGAACCTCGAAAGTACTCTAAATATAACGAATATACGTGGTAGCAGAAAACCGAAACGTTTTGCAATATTTGCTTCTCCCGTCTTTTACCCAGACTGCCATGCCGAAGTTTATATTTGGCGGAGGAGGCTGCACACATTCCCTGTATCTCTCTCTCTACTTTTGTTTTCTTTTTCGAACGCTTCCATCTCCGGATTTTTTCTTCTGCTCGCATTCGAAATTAGAGGTGCTTAAAATTAGCGGGCGAAAGGGGAGTTTCTCTTTCTCTTTTTTTTTCTTTTCCACTTTTTTTTTTCGGAGACACGTGGCGGCTGAAAAATTCTCTCGCAAGAGGAAGAATACAGAAAAGTCGAGACGAGGAAGAAACGTAATCCGAGAGGCCACATCCGCATTACTTTTAAACCGCGTTTCACGCCACTCCGCCGTTTTTCCTCGTCGCCTCGCCTCGTTATAATCGTGTTCATTCTATACCGCGCCGTTTGAACGGAACAGAACTCGAAATAGAATGATTCCATTGAGAAATAAATCTTCGAACTGAGTTTTCTTAGGCTTGACTAACTTGACTTCGATGTATTCGTATCTTCTAAGGATAATAAATGCGAAAAAGGTATAGATAAGTATAGATATATATACGTAAGAAAAGTTTTATTTCAATCTGCTATAAGATGCAGTCTCACTTATAGTCATATTACACAATATTTTATACTGCTAACAATACAAATGTTACTATAGTATTGTTAGTCAACTTTTTCTTTGAAAAATCACATAAAAAAGTCACATTAAAGTATCTTTAATAATATCTTTAGAATATTAATTGATATATGCTGAGAATCGGTTGCGGATTGACGGTTAATACGACGCTCTCGAAAAATCGTCGTGATTACCGCAATATCGCGCGAATTGCAATTAACTCGCAATCGACATTAATAATCCTCGACTTGATCGGTCGATCGAGGTCGGCCGATTATGCCGTGTTGTTTTGTATAGTGACATTTGATAACTAAATCGCGCCAATGCACCTGATGTCGCGGATCGGTCGTATGCGACACACGTGCATTAAACTGAGCGAACGAGGCGCGTGGTAATGTAATCCTATTCGCTGATCGATAAAGCTATCGCGGGTTGCACCTCCATGAGGATAGAGTATTATTCCGTCGAGAGGTCATAATGTATGTATATCGATCTGGCGACCGATCGCGTGTACGCCTCTAAACTCAATGAAATTCTCCCGCTCGAATGTTTGTAGAAACCTGCAAAATGTGGCAAATTTTTATTCAATATATTTCTTCCTATCTTTCTTAACATTGTTAAAAAAGACACACAAAAAGTTTCCGTAGGTTTTTCGGCACTAAATACGATAAATATTCAAATTACTTGCCAAATTGTTACGTACCACAATTTTGAGACATTTGCAGTAAAGTCGCAATAAGGACTATTTAAGTATACGTCGTGTTCAATACAACGTATTATGAACTACAATATTCTAACATGTTGAAAAACATGTTTAACATTTTTATATAAAACTTTCAAATAAAATAAATAATTATATGTTAGAACTTTCAATCTTTAAAAAAAATTTGTATTGATTGTCAGTTAAAATATTTGTAATTAATATAAGATCTACTGCAAATTTGTGACTTACATATATACTATTAAGATACCTTCAATGATTAAACACGCATACGGTACACATTAAAAATTTGAAATGCTCCTTAAATATCCAGACAGTATCAATTATCAAGATTTAAATACTTCATAAAAGTTTTGGTATAAAGATTATTATTTCTTCCGATTAGGATCACTTGGATAGTCTTTCTCCTGACTGCAGAAAAAATCCATCGCTGCGATCATGCGGAGCGACTCTGAATCCTAGTTAATTCCTCGTTTAATTCCGTGAACCTCAATTGCCATTTCCAACTAAAGTTATAGTCTCTTGTAGATCCTGTAAGTATTATTATGCGTAGCACAGGTTACTGCAACCTTCTACTTGCAAAACTCCATTTACATGATCACGTCGTAAGCAGTAATCCAGAGCAGTGGGTCCAGAACGGGTCTTGAACTCCGCACGTTACCTGGATTTTTATCAGATGATCGTTCCTATCCGCGTATATACAAGCCGTTTATCGCGAAGATAGCTGTTATACGGTCTTAAAGTAACTCGGAAATTCCTTCGTGATCATGACCTCGTTAATATGTGGCCATGGAAGCATGGTTATGTCGAAACTTGCAGCGACAACTATTCTTTCTTCTTTTACTGCAGACTTCGTTATGTTCTTAAACCAAAGAATTACGTCGTAGGTACGTTTACTCGATAGAGTAATTTAATAAACGTAATTATATAGCGTTTGAAAAACTGTAGCAAACGATTACCTTTATTCTTATACCCGAAAAAATTATATTTTTTTTAGTTGTACAACAATTAATATTGTATATTTGTGAGGATACATTTACAATTTGCGTTTAATTAAGTTATACCTGAGAGAAAGAGAGAGAGAGAGAGAGAGAGAGAGAGAGAAGTACGTGAAAGAAATCGATTTAATAAACTCCGTGCTAACAATTTAAAATTGGATTTAGATTACACATAAATGTAAAATAACCGATTATACTCGATATTAGTGGGCCACGATCTTCCCTAATGAAGACCTGGAGAAAACGCGCTTTTATGCGCGACCGCGTTTACGCAGCTGGAGAAATCCGCAGGTGTTCGATGCGCGTTGACTTAGTAAAAGCGCTTAACTGCACGCGGCTAATCGCGAATGAAGAAAACGCTGCTTTTCTTCTTCTATTAAAATAATCGAAGAGCATTATGCATCCTTAAGGAAAAGAAGAAAGTACAAAAACGTCGACCGAGATTAACCCGACCGTACCGTGACTATCGTCACGAATGTCACCGACATTATGCAGACATTAATATCCCGTCGAATAAGCTATTAATTATCCAATCGGTGTGTTTCCGCTCGTGTGGGCGAGATGCTTAGAGTTACACATATTATCGATACCGCGCTTCGTCACGAATACGGACGAATACGGAGTACTCGTATCGAATAACAGTCGATATCCGACCGGTTGGTATCCGCAGGATCTCTGCGTGGGTGCGCTCGGTGTACAGTGACACGTGGACATATATCGTTTCCGTTTCTTCAGCGTCGCCAGCGTATAAGATCGTCGTACCGTTCGACCTACTCGCCTCGATCTCTCTACGACGTTTACGACACGCGCGGCTCCTTTTCGGTTGCACTTCGTTCTCTCAGGGCGATCGATCGTGTTTGCCTCAGAGAACAGAGAGAAAGAGAGATATATATGAGCAATATAGAGCAATCAATGTCGCCAGCCACGAAAACGAACAATAGAACACCTACGTTGCGACTGATAAACAAGTAGCCAATAACACCCGGTGACATCAATATGAGGAAGTTGATGTGAGAGTATCGACGTTCTGTATTGTACTTCTGCCTCGAATTCGTGATTACATATAATAATAATAATATTGGATATCGATATTGAGCATGAGGTAGTATTTAATTAAAAAAATTATATTAAGGAAATTGTTGTTATATATTGACAAACAGATATTCTATACATATAGCTGCATAGAAAAATTAAATTCCTCAGTCTATAATTATATACGAAATAATGTTACTTCTCTTTTTTGTTCATATTATATTAAGCTTTACATTATATTATTGCGTTATATGCGATTATTGATTGGTTTTATTAAATTTTTTGGACTTTTTTTTAAATAAAATTGATAATATTTGATATTTTTTCAGTTGATATTTAATTTACGTTATATTCCGTATTATTTAATTACATATTCAAATAAAATTAATTAGATGAAAATTTTGTAAAAATATTAATCATGAGTGTCAGATATAAAATACTTCTAGAATATAATGTGACACACACATACAAAGAAAAAAAATGATATTACATGATGTGAACTAGAATTTAATTAATAGATTCCAGCTGCGAACTAAGAAAATGAAATTATTCAATATGTAATTATATAAGCAGCAATGCTTTTTTATTCTTCTATACGTCAATATTTATCTGAATACCTCGCACGAAATGACCAATCAGATGAATTAATGAATGTTTTGCAATTTCGTTGCAGACACCGAGAGATGACAGGACAACATCGAGTCCCGGAGGTGCGACTAGCAATCACACCTCAGCGCTATCGCCATCACCGATGGGCGATGCGCCCTTGGGTAGAGCATTGATGGAAGCAGCTCTGCAACAGCAAGCTGTGTCTGGCGTCCAGTCACCCTTAGTCGTCACGCCATCCGGATATTGGGTCGACGGTACCGATCATCGACATACTCTCGATTCCACCGGTAAGGCATTACTACCGGCGCAACCAGCCTGGCAGCCCAGGATAGATCAGGATGACACAGCCAAGTGCTATCGCCGCTTCTTCGTCGGCAGAGTGAGTTTTGTTTTCATCAACTTTTTATATCTAACTGCGTGATTTTTTACGAACATTTATATAGCTGGGTAATCGAACCAGTAGAGAACAGTAGAGAGATTTCGGGAAACGTAATATGACGCTAGGATTGAGAAAATTACTTTGTAGAATTAGTTACAGTTAGTTTTTTTCTCTTAAAAAGTAATTAGTTACAGTTACAAGTTACCGAGTCTGAAAAGTATCTCGTTACGAATTACGGTTACTTAAACGATCAAGAGTTGCTACTTTCCGCAGTTACATTTCCGTTAATTTTTTGTACTTTTTGCATTACTATTTTAAATACAAGGATCTTGTACGTTTTTAACGTTATTAAATTATTTTATTTATACTAAATATTCAATTATATGCTTTATTATTTATAATAAATTAATATTTTTAGAGTATAATGGTTACTAGAGATGAAGATTTTTCAATCACAGAAATAATCTCTAATTGTTTACTGAATACTTCATTTTAGTCAGTTCATATGTTAATGAATAAATTTGATATAAAGTAATTATGTGTAGTTTGATATAAAGTAATTAGTAAACTAGTTATTAGTTATCGCAAAAAATGTAATTAAGTCAAGTTATAGATATACAGTTATAGATGAAAAAAAAAGAATAAAGTTACAGTTAAATTACAGTTACTGAAAATAGGTATAACCGTAATTTCAACAAAAAACTGAATATAACTTTCGACCCTGTACGGAAAAGTTTGAAATGTCAGTGGGACCTTTATACCACACACACTTTTGTCTCTATGATCTTTGGTTAGTATATACGAAAAATATGTGATGGTCTGGATAATTTACGCGTGACAGACGCGCGATAAAATCGTGCAGTTTTTCAACTGCAGACAGCTATAGACGTCTTTATTTTAAGACATCTACTCTAAGATCTAATAGTTTCGGAAATATCAACGGGTATTTCCACAGTCTCTCTTATATTTCGTACCTGCCGATAGTTTCTTTTTTTCGAACGATTTCTTTAATTTATTCGATGTGTCATCGGGATCAGGGCGGACATTATTCCGCTCCTGCAACCATATTCGAGCGCAAGAACCGTGATGAACCACGATCGCTCAACCGACGATGTACATACGTAGGTGTACAAGGAAAGAAGGAGGACGCGTGTACGAAGGAGACTGAAATAACGAGAGGGAGAAAAGGAAGAGTCATGGCGCGGGAGGGAAAAGAGGAGGAAGCACGTAGGAAAAGGAAAAGAGCACTTTAGACGTGGGAGTGGGAACGTTCTCATAGCTTGCACGAAAGTCCGATGCCTGGAACTAAGAGGGAATCCTTCTCTCTCCTTCACTCCTCCTCCTCCTCCTCTGATTCATCCGTTGTGGTCGTTTTCGCGATTCTTACCCGCGATTTTCTTCTGTCTTTAGCTTCTACTGCTCTCTTTCAACCTTTTCCATCTCTCGGAGATCCTATCTTTCTCTTTATTCCTTTTCCGTCGTTGAATCATCGTCACACATGATGCGATTAAAAATTTCCTTTGATAGTATGTGAGAGAGAGAGAGAGGGGAAGAGATGCAATTTGTGTATGAAAGAACAATTTTCAATTTAAAAAAAGGGCATACACGCGAGAAACAGAACCGTTGACGATGGAAATTTGCGATATAAAATTACTAAAGCTTCACAGGAGAAACGACGGTAATCGTTTACGACAGTATAAACGGTATAAGGAAATTTTCGAGAGAGAATAAGTTAGCTTATTTATTATAGTCATCTCGGATAATTTTTGCACTTTAACAACGAAAAACTGAAATTTAGTCACAATAGTTTTTTTATTAATAAAAAATCTATTTTTTTTATTAATTACCTTATATTTTAAGAAAATATTGAGTAGGTAAGCTTACATAATGATATCAAATATTAATAAATCATAAAATAATTGATAAATATACATATAAATAGTTAATAATAGGTACTTTTACTTGTGATATATAAAATATTCTAGCTAGATAATCGTTTACGCAAAAAAATTGATTATTCTTAAAATAATTGCGGTTATTATTATATATAAAATGCTAGTGAATCACGACATTCTTTAGATCGTTACTATTATTATTAAATTCTACTAGTATTTCAGAATGTTGCTTATCTACTCGGAAAGTCTGCTAATTAACGAATAGTTAAGTCGTGCGTAGCTCGTAAGAAAAAGAACGCATTATTTTCCGCTTCCGGCACCTCACAAGCAGTTTTTCTAGATAAGACTCGACGGATGAGTTCCCGTTCCGCCTATTGTTATCCGACGATGCAGCGATGTTCGGATCGCGCTTGTTTTTCTGACTTACAACGTGAAATTCTTTTGACGTACAACGTTTTAAATTTTTATACGCTTTCTACAATAAGTCATTACCTAAGCTTAAGTTTTAAGTCGTAAAAGAATTGACTAATTACATCGAATATGAGAAGAATAATCGATTATGATTGGTCAATTTCTTACGGCTTAAGACTTAAGCTGATTCTATAATGAGTCAATAGTGGAAAATCTTAAGACTTGACTAGTTTTAACTTAAATAAATGACTATGATTTTTCGCATCTACAAATTACTAATTGTACAGCGAGTCGTTTAGCTCGACAGAAGGAAAGAAATAAAATTGAGTTTGGCCAGTCTTAAAAAAGTCGATAGTCTAGTTGTATATTGGTTGTTGGCCAACGTCATCGATAAGACATAGAATTATCGAATATCGACTCATTGTAAAATCAGCATTAAGCTTAGGTAATGGCTTATTGTAGAAAGCCATTACCTAATTACTTTTATTTATTGTAGAAAGTCATTACTTTTGTGAAATAACGCCTTAAGGCTAATATTACATTTATCCGTTGTTTTTTTTTGTCGTACGACAAGCCTTTCAAGCCTGTTGATTGGCTACAGAACAAAGAGGTTCTCGGATCTTTCTCTGTTTTGCAACTAATTAACGCATGCTTGAAAAATTGTCGTACAATAAATTCATTTTAATATCATCAACTCAAGCTACAAAAAACGTAAGCGGTAAGATGTGAGCAGTAAGTAAATGAATATTTTGGGTTTGCCACTGTTTATTGTTTTCTTTTACTGTGATTGCTTATGATCTCCGCACACACTTTCCGTAACCATAAGACCGGAAGATTGAGATTAAAAATTAAAATTTGATTAATGAGAATGAAGAAATTTTAGCTCCCATTGTTTTGATTGATCAAATTTCAATCTTTCAATTTTCAATCTCAATTTTTAATGCGTAGTCTGATTTCAGTCTAAGATGTACTGTAAAGAGCATTTATATACTAACTGTAATCGTATGTCATAATCTGTAAAAATTGATCCGTCACACAGTCGAGTTATTCCCCTCTCATTCGACTGTAAAAGAGGAATATTCGATTGTGGTTAGTCAATTCTTACAGATTACGGCCAGTATAAATGCTCCTTAGCAGTTAGCCAATTACAGTCAAGAATAGTCAAAAGTGTTCAGCTTTGATTGACTGATTCTTATGGCACGTATTATATAATTACTGTTACAGAGTATGTGCAGGCCCTCTCACTACTTACGTTTTACTGCTTACGTTTTTCTGAACGCCGTAGTTTTCATAATAATCCGTGAGAAAATGTTGGCGTAAGTCCAACTTCTTGAATTACATAACTTAAATACTGTATATATTATAAATATAATATAAACATAATGTTATAAATCTCTCCGCATACAAAATTAATACAAAATAATAGAAATTCAGAAAGCGTATTTCCTAATTTCCGAATTTTGCTCCTCAATCTTCATTAAATGTTCCATAGAAAAAAAACCTAAGTCTCACGTCTTTCTTACTATTCTGCTAATCTCGTAAGAAGTTCAGCAGAGAAAACACGATGCGAGTGCAACCCACATTCGAATTATATAATAATAACTGTAACACAAGCCGGATCCGATTAACCGATCTGTCAAAATTGAATCCTTACGATCTCGACACGTGAGATCGATTTTTTTACGTCGCGTCGTGAAAATAGCGCGGCATGAACACGCACTTTTGCCAGTACACGATACACCGGTATCGCATGTTCCGTCGTAATGTCGTTTGTTACGCGCGTCAAGAAAAGAGAAGAAATGTGGATCGCACACGTGGAAGAGAGAGAAAGAGAGAGAGAGCCGATTACTCGCGGGAGATAACAACGGTGCGCGAGTAATTCGAACCGTAACAGCAGAAACGGTTATACACCTCGAAGCCGATCATAACGGCTAACGATATCAATCGAGAGGTTGAAGAACAAAGGAGACGTCGGAGTACAGAATAAATCCGTGTTGTGCTTACAATAGAAGGGCGCGCCGTCTTGGAGTTCGTGTAATGGCAAGTTAGAATATTTTCTTGCCATTTAAGACACATATCTCTCACTTGAGACCTCTTGATAAAAATTAATGTAGCGAAAATAAAAATAAAAATATCGAAAAAGAGAGAAGAGAGATACACAAGAAATACAGCGCGCGTGCGTGATCGCTCTTGCCTTAAATTATATCAGACATTCTCTGAAATTCGCTGCAATTTTTACGGATCATAATTTCAATTTGCGGCTGATCTATAAACCTTAATTTCAATTTGCAATTAATTTAACAGTCATTTTAATTATAATTCGCAATTAATTTCGTTGAAATCCACGCTAGATCAGTTAACGTACGCAATATTATCGTATTTAATAATTTAATAATCACACCGTTGTGTATTATTACAGTAATGCACACAAGTGCATTATTACAATAATGACAATGATAGTAATAAACGTACGTACAATATCTCGATGGCATGAACTCCTGTGAACTCCGGGCACGTTGCCCTTTCTAACTCCCTCCACTATTTCCATCTGAAGGTTAGTAAAACACTGGAGAGGAAGGGAGTGGTGTGTGCATGCATTTCAACGTGCACCATTCTGTGCGACCTGACCTTCCATGCGTTTCTCTAAGCCTCTCTCGGCATTTTTGCTCGCATGCAATCCTCGGTCAACGAGGATGCACCGTTTTTATTTGCCCGCTGTTGCCCTGCCGACTATCGCGCAGCTTCGGTAAAATGGAGAAAACGCTTATTGCTCGCAGCTAATTTAAAAGACCCGAGACACATAAGAAAGTCTGAGGATCGTTCTTTCCCTCGCGTCGAGAAGCCTCGCGGACTCGTGTGGTTGTTCCATGAACTGAATGAAAAATCGGATAATTGAAGTCTACGTTTCCCTTGTATAATATTGGGTTAGAACAAAAGTTTGTAGTGCTACTTCTTTTGTCTATACATATAAAAAAAGCAAAGTTTCAGCTTTAAGAATCAGCTTTTTTTTTGAGGTACAATTATTTTTAACGGAATTATGAGCAATGAAAGTCATGATGCTCTTTTTATTTAAATCTATGATAACTCAATATAAAAAATCTCAGGAATATTTAAAAAACGATTTTGTAAAAAAAATTTTAAAAGATTTTAAACTTTAAGACCCTTTTCTAAATTTTTTAAAATTTTGTACATTTTTTAAACAAAATTTCTTAAATTTTAAAACTCGTGACGCTACGAACTTCAGTTCCAAGTTAAATAGATAGTTGGACAGGCGTTCACTAGGATTGTATCTTTTTATCTTAGAATTTCAATTTTTTATGTCATGTATTATATCTCGTTTTTATCTTTGGAAATCTAAAAAAGACTGTTTTCAAATATTTTTTTCAATAGGTATTGCAAGCAATTTCACAGTCTTCTGTAGATGTATTACATATATTGAACTATCTTCAATAAAATGTAGTATATCATTGAAAGAGCAAAATTGCTATTTCAATATAGATACTCGTGTTCATTAAGTTCAAATAAGACGCTGCGAAAATTGGAGTATGATATCTCGACTTTGATCAGAAACAATCTAAAATAAACAAGATTTATAAATAGTCGACAAATTGCACGAATCTTGGAAAAAAGAGAAGAATAACAAAATAATTATTAAAATCTATTAAAAGTCGATTTTTCTCGCATAAGACTCAATATGACAGCAACAAAATTTATGTTTACAATCTCAGAAAATCCAAAGTTTTCTCATGCTCTTCTACACTTAACTATACTTATAAATAAACATTTCTTAGAATTTCTGTTGCATACAAATCATCTAGTTACCTAAGATATCATGCAAATCGTGTCTTTTGTATAGTGAAAGGCCTTTTAAATAACTTTGATAATAATGGATGCTTTGAATATTTTGCGACTCGTGCAACTTACTTTTGCGAGGATATAGATGTATTAAAAAAAGAAAACTAAGGTAAATGTATTATTTATTCACAATTAGTGAGCATGAAATATTAAGTTCTTAATATGTACAACTTCAAGTTATTAAAAATTTAGTAACAAATTTATTTAGAATCGTACGTATCATCAAAAGCTTAATATTTGTTTCATCACTTTGTCCAACAATTGACTCGTGTTTACTAACTGATGATACATTTCCTTTAATGTGAATTTATTCTTTTTCACTTCGCAAACATACATTCGAAATAAGGCTGCGACGAAAAGCTGCTAATCGAACAAACCTGCTAATAAACTCGCCGAAGACCGTTTGCGTAATATATTGTCCTCAATACGGAGTCTCGCACGAGGGACACACCGTGTATAACATACACACGTGGGACAAAACGCACTAACTGCAGTTTGCAAAGCGCATGAACACGTTGCTGCGTAACACAGTGCGCTCAGGGCCGCATCGCACGCGTACATACTATTTTACTTACGGCAATTTCGTAACAACTAATTGAATCCGGAACGCGTGAACTACCGTAATTGTTCTAACGCACGCGCATCGCTACGCCAATTGCATCCCGCGATGTTAACATGTCCGTCAACTAACGCTTTTTATATCCGACGACATATAGGTATATCCAGAATGTATCTGGAAGGTAGCGGCAAACATAAAATACTATTGAAAGATCTCATAAAATTAAATAACTTTTTAAATCAATTTTAACTCTAGGCATCAATTTTGTTTAAACATTGTTGATAATTATACAATAGTAATGATGCTGGAGGGCGCCATTTTAAACATTTGTTGTAAAAAATTGAGCAAAATTTAAAAATTCATATAATTTTTTTATTTCAAAGAATTATGCACAATATTTATATCAAAAAACTGACGTCTGACGTTGTAAAGGAAGAATATCGCCGAACATGAGTTACTTAATAACGCTTAGAACAGTTACTTAAGAACACTTAGGATCAGTTCTACAATTCACAGTTAACTCTTAACTGTGAATTATGGAACTGGGCCTTAACAGTTCAGTTTGATCTATCATCTTCTTATTAAATTTGTCACTTTTTAGCAACAGTTTCTCTATTATATTTCTTTTTTGAGTTGACATTCGAAAGCGCACTATAGAGTCTCGATGATCTCGATGAATTTAACGTTTCTAATACATTTGAGAAAGATTATCGCGAGATTATCGTGAGATTATCACGAGATTGCACCAGAGATTAAGATGTTTTTTCGGCTAATCTCATTCATTCTTAAACATTGTTCGTGTTATTCATGATTTTCCTAGCTTTTCGAAAAATTCAATTAGAAAACGGTACGTCAGGAACCAGAAACCGTGGCTAATTATTATCGCACATAATTGCCCTGCACAGCTATAAAATACGTCGTCTTATCGTCTCGCTTTGTTTTTTTCGCAGGAACACGTAAATCTCGTGGGAAGGGACACTGAGAACGGCCCGGTCTTGGTCTCGGTGAAGGCCGAGACGGTTGCCGGACAGGAACACTGGCGAGTGTTGCTGCGACTCCGGGCAGGATCAACGCATGACCTGGTTCCAACTACGAATCTCAGTTCGAATCCTACACCAAGGAAAATGGTCAAGGTAAAGACATTCATCTCTGATAATAATTCTTTCTAATCAGCATGACATCATGCAATAAAATGTAGATTAAAAAACGCAAGGAGATACATTAAATGCGCTTATATAAAAAGCGCGTGAGACTCTGAGAAATTCTTACAATATTAATTCAAAAATTTAAGTTCATCACGTTAGATAAAAATATAACACTTTTGTTTAAAATATTGAATTGTACAATACCTACATTTAATTGTGAATTGCGTAATTCGTCAAATGGCTCGATATATTCTGAAATCTATCCAGAGGGTAGAATTCTTTTAGCGGGACGACTCGTTCTATTTTTTAAACTTACGACGTGAAAATTGTACTTAGTTTTCTTTGAGCTGTTGTGCAATTTATCATACGCTGTTTACCTATTGGAGACGCCACTTATACTGGCACACCCGAGACAGGCATACTCGATTACCTGTGTGTTTGAAGAGATAATAAGAAACGCCTGAGACAACAGTCACGTTGTGTTTACAAAGAACGATATTAATACAAGCAAAATGAAACGCTCACAGACCCAGTTTTTTGAAGTTGTTTTAAAATCAAACAGTTGCTCGCAATCGGATTTCTCGAAGGGCGATGAGGATTTTATAAGCGCGATACGACATCATCGCGCGTTTGAATTATTAATTATACTTACAATTAGATGTGTGAGTTACGTAATAGCATAGTTTTTTTTTTACACATAGTCGCCATTGACGTAATAAGGCACCTTTTTATACAAAGGGGACTTTAACGCTTCACTTAATATTTTTATTTATCATTCTTTTAAATAAGCTATTTTTTTTCAATAAATTTTAAAATAGTTTTAAAAAGAGCGCAATTTTTTCATTTTTGTTCTAGAATATTATAATTTTTTCTTAGAGCGGAAATATGAAAAGTGAAGTTAGTGTAATGGAGCAATTTTTTCACTTCTCACGTTCTTACGCCTGGAGAAAATATTACACGATCAGTATTCTCGTATTAAAACGACTTGGTATAGCTTTATATGAATTGAAAGATATTAATAGTATCGAGAAATAACTCCGATCCGCGATTAATGATTTCAGATTTTATATTTCTCTAGATTTATTAGTTATACAGTACACGTTTTGGAAGAAATTAAATTTAACGGCAGTGATCACACGCAATCGGTGTATTACAGGATTGATTTTTAAAATTTAGTTTACCCTCCCCTTGTAAATACATACTATTGTGCAGTGCACAATTTGCATATTTGCTTGCGGCGGCCTTTCACATTGGCGCACTTCCACAAAAAAAAAAAAAATGATAATCGTAATAAAAGAAACAGTCATTACAGACAAATTTAAAGAATTTTCAAATTTATACGTGAATCTTTATCAAAATAAACAAATAAATTATTATTATTAGTGGTTATTTGAGAAAATCGTGTATTTTTTAAATCGATCGCGAATATGTAGTATTATTTTGTTATTTTTTGTTTATTTTATATCTATATCTTGTACTATTACTGGCTATAAAAATATTTGTGATCGTGCAAAACTACAAAATATTGATAGAAAACTCAAGCGCTTTCGAAAAATGAATAAAACATTTCATAGAGCGACTGTTTAAAATGCGTTACCTTCGGGCGATGGAAATGCTATATCCGGCCTTGGATCCTATATTCCATTGGTATATTCCTATGCGCGCAAAAACGCATAAACGCGCTGAATAATTTAACGTTCGTCGTGTGTGCATGCTTTATCTTTCTCGGCTGTTACGTGCACGATCGTGTGGTAGGAAGCGAGAGAAGGAGAGAGGAAAATCGAGGAAAGGAGAAAGATAAGGAGGCATGCCGGTGTGATAAAACACAGGAAAGACCTTGCCTCGCTTTTTCGTAATCGTACGTCGATTACGTATTCTCGCGCATCCTCAGCAAAGAATATTTTTTTACAGGCGATCAATGAGTCTCTAAATGTAAGCCCCCTGATGCCGGTTATGTGCCCCGGCGCCGGTACCTTGATAGCACGATACGATGAGCACGCCTTGGTCTCCAGGTTTAAGTTTGGGGTTCTTCATCAGCGAGCCGGTCAACTCACTGAGGAACAGCTCTTCGGCAATCGACAGATCACCCCGGCCTTTCAGGAGTTTCTTGATTTGCTTGGTCAGAAAATCGATCTCAAGGATCACAAGGGGTAAGATTTCTTAATCCTTTGCCGAAAGTCTTGTACATTAGGACACCTATCTTTTTAAATAAAAATTTCTTTGATATTAAATCTTCTATTTTGAATTTTTAAATTTTTATTACAAATTTGAAATTGAAAGTTCAAAAAGTCCTTACTTATAAATTTTAATTATACATATATATGTATATGTATATCGTAATCAATTTGTTTTTATTTGGTCGCCATATTGGATACTTTTTAAATATATTGGATTTTTATAACTTTTTAAATTTTCACTTCATTCAACGAGCTCTACGTATAAAAAAATATGTTCTAAAAAAATTCGTACCTAAAGATCGTAATAAAGATTAAAGAATTAAGAGAATATTATTTACTTCTAAAGTGTATGTTAAAATTTTTTTAATACATGATTCATATAATGCACATATCTGTTCATATATTTTTGCGTAAACTTAGATAAAAAATATAATTCCATAAATTATATAAAATTGTAAAATTATTAGAAATTGATAAGTAAAAATTGTAATATGCCTATTTTTAATATTTACTTTATTTTACTTTTCCTTTAGTATCCCTCATTTCTTTTCGATATTATTTTCTAATTGGCTGTCCTGTGTATTACAGTTATCGTGGTGGGTTGGATACTCGACACGGCCAGACTGGCGATTCGGCGGTGTACGAGGTGTTTCGGGGTCGGGAAGTATTGTTCCACGTTGCCTCGTTATTGCCATATAGTCCGGGCGATTCGCAGCAGTTACAGCGCAAACGACACATCGGCAATGACATCGTCGCCATCATATTTCAAGAGGAATCGACACCCTTCAGTCCGGACATGATCGCCAGTCACTTCTTGCACGCCTTCATCGTCGTGCAAGTCATCGACCCCTGCACTGCTAATACGAGGTATATTTTTAGGTTCTTAGTTGCTTTCCGTTTATATGCTGTTTGCTCTACGAAGCTAAAACTTAGGAAACAATTTATTTATTTTAATATTTCTTATTCTCATCGATTGTGAAGACAATCGCTATTGGCTAACACAAAAAAAACAACAAATAACAGAGGTATTAAATTTTAAGATACAAAGTCAGCGTGACAGCGCGCGACGACGTTCCCTGGTTCGGACCAACTCTACCAACTCCAGCAGTTTTTCTCAGAGGTGTAGAATTTAAAGAGTTCCTACTCACGAAACTTGTGAACGCCGAGAATGCCGCTTATAAGGCCGAGAAATTTTCCAAATTGGAAGTAAGTCTTTGTCTTTGATGCTCCTTTCCTCATTTATTTGTATTGAGAAAACTCGAAGAATCGACGTAATAGACATTCAATAGATCACTATGATAATTTCTGAAAAAGATTATGAAAAAAAAAATTAAATAATTGTACGATTGTATTTCAGCTGCGGACTAGATCGGCCTTGTTAGAATCCCTAACAGAAGAACTGCAGACCAAAACGGCAGAATTTCTCGGTGGTCCACTTGGCCTAGGAAGTTCCGGCTTAAGCGTTTGTCCGGTGAGTCCAACGACGAACGACGTATCCACTTCAGGAAGTAGTGGCAGTGGCTCGCGATTTATCGACACGGTTCGGAAAGCACTGATCTCTCGTGTGAGAAACGCATCAACGGAAAGCGTACCGCAACAGTTAGCTAAAAAAGGTCAACAGACAGAGTCCAGTCCTCCAAGTAATCGACAGTCGACTGTTACGAAGGTAAATGAGAATAAATGATAGAGTATTTATTATGTTTTATATTATATAACTGAGTAAGTAAAGTACTGTTATTTATTATGTATAATGTATAGTATGTTTTTTTAAATAACTAATTTAATGACTACATAAAAGAAATCATGCAAAGCAATAAAAATATATAGAAAATGCAAACTATATATATATATAAACTAAACTATAAAATTTTTAATTGTGGATTATAAATTAAAGTATCAAGATTAAATAAATTGATATTTACAACAACTATTCAAGGTGAGCGGTAGCAAACGTTCGGTGGAACCGTCCAGTCCTCTCGGCTCGCCGGATCTAACCCTGAGAAGAGACTCAGAGCGTGGTAGTCTTGGTAGCCAAGACAGCAGTCTCTCCACCACCGACAATCAAGATAGTAGTCTGGTGACATTGCAGCAAGACGAATATGATCGTAGAGAATCACAGGGCACGAGTATCATCTGCCTCAGCGATACTACTGTCATCGACAAATCTCCGGCGCCGACATCGGCAGTGGTGCAACAACTAACGCACGAGAGTTTGCGCACACAGGAGAAAACAACGGAGGTGACGCAGCGAGTGATCTCGGAGAGCGATGACAGTTCGCTCAACAGCGAACTCGAACTCGATCAGGCCGTATATCCCGATAGTGACACAGGCCTTGAATCTATGAGTTCCGCGGAGACTCACGATACCACAAGGTGTACAAGTAAAGATGGGATCGTGGAAAACGAAAACTTGAGGATGGAAGTCACTAGACTCAAGTGCGACAAGTTAGATTTGCTGCGGCAAAATGTGGTAAGTAAGAAATAAATAAAATAAAGTTTGTTTTGAAATTTTTCAAACACTTGCGGTCATGAAAAAATGCAATCTGTATTGCAGACATGCCAACGTGAACTAAAACGACGCCGAGAGAAGGAATTACAACTAGAATCCGATTTGGCGGCGGCGTCCAAGGAGATCCTACGATTACGTGCGATGCTGAAGGAATGCTCCACGAGCATTCCGCTGGATAACAACAATCAGCAAACGTCCACCGTGTGAAGTTTACAAGCACAACGTATAATCTTAGGCGTAATCGATGGTTATTCTCACGAGATATTAGATAATATGGCCTTTATGGTCGAATGCAATTGCATGTGTAGATCTGGAAAATTGTCTTTGAAAATGCGCGTAATAATTTTTTTGTCTTATTAGCAATCTGTCGCATTTCACATGGCTTTTGCACGCTGTTTCTTTTTCGTTACATCACTTTTGTGTATAGTCTGATATTGAGATTACCGAAATGACATGCGAAATACCAATAGATGTCTAAAGGATATAATAGGAATCTAAAGTAAAATGTCAAGACGTCTTTCAAACGCTTTATGAGTACTCAATACTTGAACACTATGTACCTTCACCAGGAATCATTCATTACTTCCAAAGGTTTATCGTTAGTGCTCCATAAGAGCATATAGAGCATATATTTGCAATGTAGATGCTTTATTACAAAAATTAATCGTTCAAATTGAGTTTTCTTAAGATAGAGATCGGTACAAGTTCTATAAGTCATACACGAGATAGTAAGATTAACACAAATCCTGAAACTGTGTATAGTGACCAAAGTGTCCTCGAGATACTTGTAGTATAGATTCAAGATTGTTAGAGTTCTTGATTGACTTATAAGACACGTGTAATATTTATATCTATTAATTTATTAGTAGACTTAAGTTGACCATTCGTAGTCAATATACATATGTGGATATAAAAAGAAGCAGTAGAGATATCTGTAGTATTAGCTGTCTTAAGAGACGGATTGAGCACTCAACATTGTGAAGAAACAAAAATTACCATGATTCGCTGCAATAAGAGTGAGTTATATCTATTTATCGAAGCTGACAACATCCTAATAACTTCCGTTTATTCTTGCATAGCGTGGATTATCCACAATTGGGCGAAACATTTTCCATATTTAGATACTATCTTAATCGGTAGACTTTTTGTCAAACGCGATTGTAGAAGAAAATAACATGTCATTAGCAGCAGTATTTGTTACGATACACTTATCCGGCACAACACTTATCCGTTTATTAGTTTTTTAGTACTTAGATACCAGAGAATAGATTTAGAAGATACTTCTATGAAGTTGAATTATATTCGCACCTTCCGTGTGCTAGTTTTAGTAAAAAAAACTAATTTCAAGCATTTTTTTTAATTGCGCACAGCACCAAATTATTTAAGTATATGCATCACATGTTTTCACAAAATATTATTTTCTTCGCACGTGCAAACGAAAGATGCGTTATCGTTTACCATTCACCATCTAAAGTTAAGCATTTTGTATTCATTTTTAGTTGAAAGTCAATTTTTCTGTTATCTTGTACGACTAGTATTAATACGATTCTTACCATTATTATTATCACAACCTTACTATTATTAATATTTTTATTAACATAAATTACGTTATACTTTGTATAATGTTTGTAAATAATCGTCAATATAGGACAGACACTTGAAGGCGTTAAGCAAACTGGCACAAAGAGGAGGAACAACAACGTTCACTCACATATAATACCAAAGTTTAATGTAGTAAAATTTACAATTTTTCTTTTTTTATTTCCCTCGCTTTCCTTATTTTCCCGTTTTCCATTATTTTTAGAGGTTGAAAGGAAATTGCAATTTTGTTTCGTCAAATATTTTCATCAGGAAAAAAATAGAACCATCATTTTCACAGTTACTTTGATAAAACATCACATTTATCACTGCCTATGCGATGTCGCCTCGAATTACTCTTTTGAGAATATGTGAAGTCTACTGCTTATATAACGTGATTGATTATACTAACAACACACTATATATACTACTGAAAAGAACGTTCGAGAAAGAGGGAGGGAGAGAGAGAGAGAGGTACTGTTGCTGTAGTATCGATAATTTAACTATTGGTTTTTTCATGAATGAAAAAAATATTTCTACCAAAATAAGGAAAATAACATAACTGATACATAATTTCAAACACTAAAGTTACAGTATTTCAAATAAATTTGTTAAAATAAAATTGTATTTTTCAATCTCTTGTGGTATTAGAAAACTGGATATAAGAATAATATATTCTAAATCTATTTTTATGCTTTTGCGTTATTCATAAATTACTCGGAACGGCGACTAATACATGTAGCACTATTTAAGTATCTAAGCTTTTGTATATGTCATTGTACAAAGATTCAAAGGCTTGTGGACATTTTCCAGTGTAATGAGATATATTATTCTAGAAAAAAGAAAAGATATACAAATTATATATTATATATGAATACGTTAAAATTATTCTGGGGAAAGAAAAATATATACGAGTTCTAAATATGTTGAAAATAATGTATATAAAATTGAAATCTCGTTTAAATTCTAAAATAGTGACGGACTGTTTTTCATTAATCGTTAATGTTGTGTCAAATACAAATTCGCAATAGAGACGGTCAAATTTGTATCGATGATTCAATTGGACTTGTAAGAGATAATCCAAAAGAGAGAAATGGTCAATGATAAACCAAAGAATACTGGAAAGATCGACGCGTCTATTGAGTCCAAAAATTGGCATACATATTATCTGCATATTATCAAAGAAGTGACGGACGTTTTGATCGTGGAACATGTGAATTTGAGTATTTTCGGAAACGTCTTATACTATACTTATACCTACTGTTAGATATCTATAGAAGATTTAGAGGATTTATATTGACTATTTAATACTCACGAATTTAAATGAGCCTCCTTATTTTTATCGATGTATGTACGTATGTACATAACGTCAAAAATTTGCGTTCAATTACGGAAATTGTTATTCGACATTTCCGAAAAGTTTCACTACTGTCTAGTGTGATTTCTATGCTCGCCTTCTGAAAAGATGATCTATATATATATATAGAAAAATATTTCATTATTATATTTCCAAAAACAAGAAAACGGATTGAAAGAAAAGAAGGAAAGATTGAAAATATTATTATCAGATACATAAATATATTTTGTATCTAATATTAATCATCCATTTCTACTATTAACTCGAATACTTCATTGCTCTCAGAAAAATATACGTATATATCATGTTTAATTTAATACACTCAATAATTTTAAAAATAATTAATGGAATCATATAAACAATTTTTTTAAATAAAAACTATTTTGTTTTAGAAGATCTTCATGATGATTTGGACGAAAGTTTTAAATTATTTTTCTTAATAATTTAATTTTTTTATGAAATAATATAGCTAGTTTATTTTTTACAATTTTAAGTAAATACTATCGAAAATTACACTTTATTGTATATTATTATCATAAAATACAAAATTCCTGATAAAATAAATATTATTCTAATCAAAAATAATTTAAAACTTTCGTTAAATCATTATATATATCGTCTAATCATTATATAAATCCCTTTAAACAAAATAATTAAAAAAATGTTTATAATTTAATATAAAAAATAATTGAATATACACATTCATACTGTTTAAATGCAGTGTGTGTATGTGTATGTTTAAGGAATGTATTGTAATACAAGTTTGCTCCCGCCGTTTTTACAGGTATAAAACTATCTATATGAAAACGGCGGGAGCAAACTTGTAGACCTATATTCAGAAAAAGATAAATAACCAATCATAATTAATTATTTTTGTCATATTCAACTATGATTGGTCAATTTTTTATGGTTTACGGTTTACGACCCTATTACAGAACAGGTTTTTCGGCAACATTTTTGTCTTCAGAAAACAAATTTTCCAATTGGATATCGACAGTTTTACAACTGTTTTATGATTCTTTGCTGAGATAGGACTATTCCTTTAGATCTAAAATTATAATCCAATCAGCGAGACAAACCATAAAACGGTTGCAAAACTGTTGAGCGTTTAAGTTGACAAAGCGGCTAGCCTGCTCACCGAGCAAATGAACGTAATTGATTGTTACTTTTAGATCTATAATAACCAATCATACCTAGCCGCTTTGCCGTCATGAACTCGCACATTGTCACCAATCCGTAGAAAATTAAATTGAGAAGCTAGAGATTTTCGTTGCTACCAACATTATTCCCTCTTGTTTTATGGAAACTGATTTGACCATCGCAGCACGCTTCTAAAGTCGGTTTCACAAGTCAGTTGCAAATTATCGGCGAGTCCAACAGAATTCTCCAATAACAGGTGAGAATTCGACCGAACGTACCGTGAATTCCATCCAAGTCCGCATGCGCAACGTATGGCTCTCTCCTCAACAACGATTGCAAGGATTTGCGATTGCGGCGCGCGTATGCAGTGAACTTGTCGACTTCCGCGAGAGTAGCGGCGGATCACAGTCGGCGCCCGCCGTTCATGCTGCGTGTTGTGTTCATCGACACGAGAGATCAAAGTAGTGATATACGCGTCGGAAAGGCATACGCGCGCGCGCGCGCGCGCAGCCAGCGAACTAAAATGGCTAATTGTCAGACTGGTTGGTGCAGCAGGTGAGCGAGCAGACTGTGTGATTTCTCGTCGTGTGCGTGTGGCCTCGTCATCGTCTTCTTCGTCTTCGTGTCGTTGTCGCCGTCGTCAACGAGTAGGGTACTGCCCGAGGACGCGCGGTGCCATCCGTAGCCAAGACGTGTTTTGAAATTCATCATTGTGGTTCGCCGTCGTCATCGTCGTCGTCATCGACGATCGCCGTCGATCATCGGATCGATTGTTTTTGAGATTTTTCTCATCGGCGCCGCCGATGGACAATAATTTCGGCGAGCGGAGTATTTTCTCGAATGTCGGACTCACCGGAGTCAGGAGTGTTGACGAGGGAAAGGAAAAAAGAAAGGACAACAAAGCGTCGAAATCATCCGCGAATCCGTCGCGACCGGAACCACACGCTTTTGCTGTTGTAAATCAATTTTATTACATGCCGCTCGGGAACACACGTCGCCTCTCTCCCGTCACCTCCCCCTGCAACGTGCGTGTTGGCCGCTCGCGGTTAGCTTAGCCGCGGATCCTCTGCCTCCCTCCCTTCCTCGCTCCCACGTTCTCCCTGGTGCATGCACTCACTCGCACGGGAGAGAGAATTGATGCATAGAAAATCTCTTGGATGGTACACGCGACACGTGTCTGTGTGTATTGGACGGTATAGACGTCGACGACGACGACGACAGGTCGAGGTGGCGGCGGAGGAGCAGGAGGTGGCGTGCACACATACACCTGTGCGTGCGCGCGCGCGCGCATTGTCAGATGCAATATTTATCTCCCCTGATAGTATCTTTTCCCGATAATATGTGGCCCCGATATATACACCGTTGCAACGTGACGACGACGTGACACATACACACATGCGCACGCAATCGCTCTAACACACACATACACACGATCGTGTACAGTGGCCATAATGTCATCCCGAAGGCTGCTCCTTAGTAATTTACAAAGGGTTCGCTCTTCCGTGAAGTACGGATAGTGTACGGCACGCTTTTCCAGGCGATACCTGCCGCTTCGGACTTTGCTGTTGGCGTGTGAGGACAGGTGCCTGTGTTGGTAGACGGCAGTCCACACACACACACACACACACATACGTACACACGGTGCTTGCTCTGTTGTGTGCGTGTGTCTCTATTTCTCTCTCTCTCTCTCTCTCCGTCTCTTTTCTTCTTGCGGTGCCCTGAGACTCACCACTGAGCAGCATGGCTTCTGGTGCATCCTCCTTGGACAGTGCTGGGAGCAGCGGTGAGTGACAGTTTTTATTTTCAACTCCTTTTTGTGGCGGAGAGAACGGCCGCTCGCTCGATAACGTCTTTCCGCCGTGGTACGGCTAACGTCAGCGCGTCATTGTATTTTTAATTGCGACGTCAGGACGATACGTCGTCGTCCTCGACATCGCCGCAAGCCGCTGCTGCCGCCGCCACAGAAATATCTTTTATCGGAGAATTAAACTCCGCAGCGCGTTCCAGAAGTCTCCTTTAGGACGAAATGTAGGTCTTTAATATATTAATTTTAGAACCCGGAACTAGATATTGAATTCGGTTGTGATTCTTATTTATTTTCAAGAGTTAAAATATAATTTCATAAGATAATTGCTCCTATAGAATAATTACTTTTTACACTAAAGAAAGTAGCGTTCTTAATAAGTAAAACATTGGATATGTAGATTTGAAAGAGACACAACAGATATCGTGGTGTCACATACTGCTTGTTATGATAAAATATCACTGATAATTTTATTAGCTGAGGAAAACAATGAATCAAACTATGCTTACATGCGTGACCTAGAGTTTCTTTCCTGGTGAAAGCTAGCGAGACCTCTGATTATGTTGTTCCCTCTACTGTAACAAGCATATCAGACTTTTAAATTTTATTGTGAAATTCAACGCGCTAGTCGGGTGATGTTCCTACTTTTACTTGTTTTATTCGTTTTTTTTTTTTCTTTATTTGCATTCCACTCCATGTTCCTTTATACATGATTAGTATTTGCAGCTTGAAGTAATACAGGTGTTTATAATTAATTTTCCAGATGGTGCGCTTAATATGGGTAAGAATTATTTTTAAACAAGTGTTACAAAAATACATGTGCATATATGTATAGACCGTCAATATACGTCACATTTTTAATAGAATCTCTATGTGATACCTCTTGTTGCATTTTTAATATTTGTGTATAATGCTTGAGAACAATTAAATCTGTTCGTATGCACCAATGTAGTACTTTTTTCTTTAAAATGTTTTCCATATTTAGTTTATACTTATCACTAGTTACATAAAATCAAACATGTTTCATTTTCATATGTACATTTTATATTAAGTTACACCGATTATTTCCCTGATATGTTTGCTATTGGAATTGACACTTGTGGCATAAAACCAGAGGGGGATAGTGGAAGCTATGGCAGTGTTGGAAGCCCAGTTGGTGGTCCTGAATGTCGTAGCGACTATGACAGTGTGCAGGCTCAATGTGATCAGGCGATTCATCAGCTTCAGCTACTTAGACATAAGCACTCCGATACCATAAGACGGTTTGTTTTGATTTTGTTTTACCTTTGTCTTGCTATTTGCATCTATCTCTCTTTTTCTCTTGGCATCCCTTTCTCATCACATTTTTTTATTTTAACATACTTTCAATCACGTATGTACATATTCGCACATCTCACAGTTCTTTTTTTATATGCTTGATGCTTGAAACTTGACACTTTCAGGCCAATAAGGGCATGTAAAAAGAAGTCTCTAATGCACAGGTGTGAGATTACTATGAAAGAATTGGAGTATTATCGGGGGCAACATATAGCAGTCATGAATCAACTGGAAGCCACATCGCAAGAAAGCTCTTCGTTACGAGCAAAATATAGTGATCTAGCAAACGACAAACAACGGTTGGACCGAGAAGTCCAGTCACTGCAGAAAGAACTTTCAGAATTGCAGCGCATACAGAATCAAGAGGTTCTCGTCGCTGATGCCACGGGGAACGATGCTATGAATCAGCACTATCTCTCCGCGTTACGAAAATACGAAGCCGTTAAGGACGAATACGATTCCCTCAGGAAACGATACGACGATCTTATATCATCTCATTCTTCCGCCGTTAATAAGGCAAGTAGTCGATAGGCGTTATTCTTGTACGCAACGTTAACGCGCATATTTTTCTGCGCAATGAAAACTTATGCAAAATTACTCGTGTGATCAATACAGCTAGAGTTATCGCAAGAGGAAGCAAAGAGACTAAAGAAGCAGTACGAGAGCGTTCTAGAGGAACGTAACAGCGTACTCCGCGAGCGCAACGGTTTGAAACAGCAGTGCACCGCCGCGATTCGCCAGTGGGATATTGCATTGAGAGAAAGAAACGAATATCGTGAAGCGCTCGCAAAGGTACAGCAACAGCACGAGGAGGCGGTCAAGGAGATCAATCAGGCGATGATGCTCCGTATGAAGGCCAGCAAGGATATGAAACGTCTCACAGAAGAACGAAATGCCGCCTTGCAGGAATACAGCCTGATCATGGGAGAACGAGACACAGTACACAAGGAAATTGAGAAGTTGGGTGACGATCTCACGCAAGCATACACGAAAGTCACGCATTTGGAAACGCAGAATAAGCAGCTTGTTGAGGAGGTAATGAAACGAGTAATCGAGTAAGAAAAGTAATAGGTGTTGGATATTTTTGCTCCTGGCGTAATGATTTTCATGTTGTTACAATCTTGTCTTCATCGTAACAACTAAGTACATATAATGGCATTTCAGTGGTATCGACAGTGACATACTCTTCCGATGTCATAGAAGCATTTAGCTCGTGTCACGAACGATTGCGAAACGAGGTCCAGAAACAAATTATTGTACAAGTAGGAAACTTTCAGTTTACGCCTGTCAGTTTACGATTATCAGTACGCTTTTGTTTCCAGTTGAGTCTGTCGCTGTCGATACCTATATATAAGTCGCGCTTAACGTAATGTTAAAAGGGAAGTGTCAAGATTAAAGATAATGTTATAACTATTGCATGTATCACACGTATTTATTTTTCGAAGGTAACGACCTTATTCTTGGAAACATAATATAAAGACATTGGAAATTGCCGATATTATCTGTGTAATTTTATTAAAATAAATTATTTGTTATGCTGTTGATACAATTTGTTACATTGATGCCTTTTATTTGCAGAAGAAAACATTGTCATATCAAATTGAGACTTTAAAGAGAGAGATCTCTTCTGCTTTACAAGATAGAGACGACGCCTTGAAGCTGTGCAATGAATTACGGCAGAAATTTGGCGATTACTCCGAAGGTTCTAGCAGAGACTATAAACATCGTTTGGAATTGAATTCGCTCAGTCATGAACGCGACAGTGTCAGTAAGGAGGCAGAAAAGGAGACTAATACGAGAGATTACGCGACGCGAGACAAGCAACGCATGGATAATTTGGAGCAAGCTAATTTAGAGTTGGATAAACTCAGGAAATCCGTGGAGAAGCTTCATGGGGAGCTGGAGGAGGCCCTTCAAGAGGCCGAGGTGTCTAAGAGAAGGAGAGATTGGGCCTTCAGCGAGCGTGACAAAATAGTGCTGGAACGTGAGAGCATAAGAACTCTGTGTGATAGATTACGGAAGGAGCGCGATCGCGCGGTCTCCGAATTGGCCGGCGCCCTACGCGATTCCGACGATATTAAGAAGCAACGAAACGAAGCGTCGAAGGAATTGAAGGATCTGAAGGAGAAAATTGAGTTTGGTGACCATGCATTGCGAACTAGTCAGTTGGCGCAGATTGATGATAGTAACGACTGGGATATGATTCCAATTCACGTGGAACCCGGCAGGATCTGCTTGGATTCAGATCGCGGTGACTTGGGACTGATTCTCGTCGGCGGTCGCGACAGTCCATATTATCCGAATGACACTGGCGTCTACGTCGCGCAAGTGACCCAGGGTAGCGCCCTCGATGGTAAACTACGGGTGAACGATTGTATTGTGCGAGTGAATAATGTCGACTGTACGTCTGTATCGACCCGTGTAATCTTAGAGACTCTGCGCTCGTCCACCGTGAATCCGGCAACACTAATCGTAAAGCGACGTCGGATAACCAGACGATCATTGAGAACTACACAGCTGTCGGTCGGCACAGTGCCACACGGTATTACTCTAGAACTTGGCATCTACATTTCGAAAATATCGCCCGGCAGCTTAGCGGCTAAAGATGGAAACCTTGCCGTGGGAGACAGAGTATTAAACGTAAGTTATATGAAGCACTTTATCACATCACTTGTAATTTGTATAGATTAATAAATACTTGTATTATACGACAAGTGTATGCCATTTTTTATTTTCAAGTTAAAAATTTTATTTAACATTGTATTTACTTTCTATGTTCATTTTCAGATTAATAGTAAACCCATGGACACTATAACTACAGCGCATGAAGCGATGGCTATTCTAAACGATGATACTGTAGACGTACTAACCATCACTACATTGAAAGGTATTCCAGTACCCTCCGCTGCCAGCTCGGAAACGGTGACGATAGACGGCAGTTTCGTTGCAGAGAAACAAAAGATGGTAAATAGCTGTTCGCAGACTGAGCAAGAAAGAATGATGCTGAAAGCCTCATCAGATGACTACGAGAGACGATATCTGTCAACGAATTTCGCTGACCGTAACGTCTACAAGGCTGCGAAATCTGTAAGCGGCGAAAAATCGAGCGGAATCAGCAATGCTTGGGACAATTTCCGGGAGAAGATTGATATAGTACGTGGTCGTAAACATAGCAAGGAGCGCGACGAGAGCAAGAAAAAGAGCCATCGCAACTCTAGTCCGAATACGTTCGAGCAGGAGCAAGACGCGATAGCAGAACTGGATTCGGTGATCGACAGCTACCACAAGAAGGCGAGCAATAGCAACAACGGCGTGTTAAAGCGCAGCAAACGCCGCGGTGCTGAGAAGATCGAGAAGAACGGCGGCACGTGGCCAAAGGCACGCGGCGGACCCCTCATACAAAATGGGACCGGTACTATATTGCACCCGCGCAAATCGAAAGAACGTTTTCCTCTCAGTGTACTCCTGCATCCACCAAAATACGATAACTATAGTTATAATCGTATCTCCAACCCCATCCCCTTGACCAATTTTTCCAATGTCAATAATCGTCATACCGTTTACAAAGCAGTGGAGACCCCGCTACCGAGCTTCAAGACCGGACAGCTCTTTAACCAGAAGCCATCGTTCACGCCGGCGGTGCAGTTCAAGGACATCCCGATCGACGGTGGCAGTAAGAAGCCGCCGTCGACGGAGTTCGAGAGCAGCACGTCGGAGACCGGGCGACTTGGCTCCGCGCTGGCGCCATCCGAGACTAGCATCGATTTCTCGGTCAAGTCCGGCGGTGCCAGCCGCGACGTTGACTCGTACTTCGCGAACAAACGGCCGCAAAAGTATACTACGGGCAGCAGTAGCGATACGCAGGTGACCACGGATACGCTACAGCACAATCGCGTTCACTCACAACTCTACTCGTCGGGCATCGGTGGTTCATCCACGTCTGCCGCGTCGACCACCAGCGGGCCGACGTCGCGACAGCAATTGGCACCTGGTAACTTTCCGTTTCCCTCGCATCATCCGTACGCCGCGTCGTCGCACCTGCATCATCTGCATCCGCATCCCACGCAGCACCAGAATTCCTTGCCCTTGCGTTATCCCTCGCCACCGTCGTTGCCGTCCGCGCAATCAGGCGAGTCCATAGGCCTGCCTGACGCACGTACCTACTGTTTCGAGCCTCCGTATAGCCCTGGACCTTCGCAGACGACCCCGACCACTTTCGGCCATCTGCACACGCCCTCCATAGATCTGCACTATCACAAGTCACGTGCACTTCCGCTCGGTATACCCTGCGACACGTCTATCTACGGGCACGGATACGAAGGTGGCACATTGCCAGGCCGGAAGGAAGACCAGCGCATCCGTATACCGTCCAACACTAGTGTCACGTCCAAGAGTAGTGTTGGCAAATTGTCTACTGGCAGCATAGAAAGAACCTCCGAGCGTGGCAGCCCGATGCCGACGTTCCACGTAGAAGTGTTGAGCCCAGGCACTGGTAGCACTAGCGGGATTGGAAGTAGTGGTGGCACTGTCAGAGGAAGCAGTAGCAGCAACAAGCGGGCCAGCATGCCAGATTACTGTTACTCGCAACCACGACCGGCACCTGGAGAACTACGCAGGGTCCACATAGACAAGTCCGTGGAACCGCTGGGAATTCAAATCTCATGCCTGGAGAGTGGTGGTGTGTTTGTCTCCACCGTATATGAGCACAGTCTGGCATCGCAGGTCGGCCTACAAATTGGTGACCAATTGTTGGAGGTTTGCGGTATAAATATGCGAAGTGCGACCTACCAACTGGCTGCTAATGTTCTACGTCAGTGTGGTAACTCGATTACAATGCTGGTGCAATACAGCCCGGATAGTAAGTAAAGTCTTTTTGCACAAAAATAATGCAGTTTCTGAAAACGCACTTTTGTAACGCAATCTGTAGCATGTTCTTTATTCAAATAGCATGATTTAACGCGTCCTTTCTCCATCTTCTTCCTTCCCTAACAATATCTTCCGACTTAAGTCTGAAAAGTTTTTCATTGTAATTTTTCAGGATATTTTGTTTCTTATAGCATTCACGTTAATGGCGTAAGTTTTTAAAAACTTACATTTTTCTTTGCAAGAATACACCGAGTTAGAAGGCTCGGCATCCTCGAGTTCGTCGGAAGCCGGCGATGGAGCTGCGACCGGAAGTCGTAGCGGCTCGCCAACTCCGTGCAATAGTCCAGAAGCACCTCGAAAGAGTACAGTGGAAACACTGGAACCTGCTGAACCCGAACGTGACGCAACCATCACTATCACCACCACCGCTCCTACCGTTACCACTACTGCCGCACCTACAATGAGTACACTGCGCGTCGAACACATGCGGCCATCCGCCTCGCTAGAGGTAAGAAGCACACAAGAGCGGGAACGCGAGATGAGGCCCTCTGCGTCGTTGGACATCAATATTCGCAAACCAGAACTTCGCAGCGCTGCCACGTTAGATCGATTGAGTCGTGCACAGATGCAACGGCAAAACGCGATGAGAAGTCCTACACAGGAGGAACAGAATCGAAAGCCACCACCGAGTGGTGAGCCCCGATATCTATTGATTGAGACCAGGAAATGCTCGAACCTTGGTATATCGTTAGTGGGTGGAAACGGTGTCGGTATTTTTGTGCATTCTGTTCAGCCAGGCTGTCTCGCTGAAGAGGCCGGTTTGTTTGCTGGAGATAGGATTCTAGAATACAACGGCGTAGATCTGAGACAGGCAACCGCCGAGCAAGCCGCGCTTGAACTGGCTCGACCGGCCGACAAAGTGACGTTAGTCTCTCAGTACATGCCAGAGCGATATAACGAAGTGAAAGACAAACCAGGCGACAGTTTCTACGTGAAGGCATTGTTTGATAGAACCGGCGAAGTGGGTGATAGTCTGCAGCTACGATTTAGTAAAGATGACATTCTTTACGTGGATAATACTATGTTCAATGGCACACCAGGCCACTGGCGCGCCTGGATAGTTGATCAGACCGGTCGTAGGCAAACTTGCGGGATAATTCCAAGTAAATTTAAGTAAGTTACGTTTGCGTGAATAATAGAATATTTCAAGTGGAGAAAAAATACGATTAATAATACAATATTTTTATTAACGTTATTTAAACTGTGATATCTTCAGGGTCGAAGAAGAATTGCTCCTACGTCGATCTTTAGGCGACTTGGAACAAGATACTGGCAAACGCAGCAATACTAGTGCGAGAAGAAGTTTCTTCCGTCGAAAAAAACAGCAACAACGGTCATCCAGTAGTAGAGATAGTTGTAAAGAAATATCGCATCTTACGGGAGTCAATTTGGGATGGTACAGTGACAGTGGTACATTAAACGAAGACACTCTTCCAGCGAGTTATCAGCGCGTCGAGAGACTTGATTGTACGTATTATTAACTATAATTTTTTATTTTTTATTACCTTATTTGTCATTACAAAGATCAGTGCTATTCTCATTTTGGTTTGCGCTGCAAATTATTTTATTTAATTTTTAATTATAATATCTTTTACACTATTGTGACTTGGAATTTTTATTTATGGACATGTTCTTTTTTTTATTATTGACAAAGATTAATCATGCTTACGAGACCAATATTGACTAAAACTTGCATAGAATTGAGAATATTTTTTGACTTAATGAAGAATATATATAATATATTTTAATTTATAATACTTCATATATTTAATGTAACATTGAAAATGATCGGAGTCGAAATATTTGTTTTCGAAACGAAAAGATATGTTTATATGATTGTTTAAATTAAATTATTCGTTAATTTGGTTGGCTCGTTGCCCTCTTTATATTTATACTATTTTATACATATTGAGAGCCTTATAATTACTTTTATATATATTTTATATAATTTTTAATCTTCTGCGTTCTCAAACTAATTTAACATTTAATTCCACTAGCTCCAAATAAAAATTAAAATATTAAATTTTATAAAGATTTTAAATATTCAGAATATATTAAGGAATTAAAATTGTGATATTACTACGGTAGTTAATTAGATTTGCGTTTTAAAGTTCGACGGATGTTCGGCGCGCAAGGGGGGGGAACTACTTACGTAGTATATAATATTCACACTTTAACATATCTTATATATGATCGCACTAATAACATCTCTCATTAGCCTTACTATTCTTGTTATTTGATATATTAAGGATATTTTTTATAATTATGAATATATTTAAAAAATAATTTATTACATTTTGTTTTTTTAATAACGTGTGATATTGTTTAAAGTATTTACTTAGATGAAATTTAGGTTTTCTTTCGCAGGAAAGTTTTTACATTAAATTTAGACGCTTAAAAATTTGTTTAATGACATAACATAGTAAAAAAGAAGATTACACAAAGTGTAATATTGATTTGACAATAAATTATACAATATAAAAAAAAAACTATAAAAAGTATTTTTTAATTTAAAAAATACAGAAAAACGTGTGTAATAATTTTATATCAAGTCTAGTTTAGGTCTTAAAAGTTAAAAAAAATGATAGCTTCTCAATATTATTACAATATGTCTTACAATTTTAATTTAAAGTATAACGATTTGTTTATCTCTGATAACAGATCCTACTCTGAGACCCTTGCTGATCGCTGGTCCGCTCAGCGAATGCGTGGTAACAAAACTTTTGCAAGAATACCCGGGACAGTTTACTAGATGTCTGGCGGAAGCAATGCATTGTTCGCAATCAACTTTGGAGCAAGGATTACGCGATTCGCTCTATGTTGATTATAGGAAAAAGGGCAGCTACTTTGAATGCACAACAGTGCAAGCCGTTAAAGATATATGTGAAAAGGTAATCAACAAATATATTATTATTGAATAACGATCAATAGGATAACAAGAATAATGTATAATAATATTGTTATGGATATTAGATGATAGTAGCAGGAAGTAACTAATCTTATTTAATTAAATATTTATACTAATATTTATTTGTGTTATATCCATTGTAGAATACATACTGTATTTTGGATGTATCAATGGCTTCCATTGAAAGGCTTCATAGACATCAAATTTATCCTATCGTCCTTTTAATCAAATTCAAGGATAGGACGCAAATTAAAGAGGTCAAGGATTCCAGATATCCAAGCGATAAAATCAGTACAAAGGCTGCAAAAGAGATGTTCGAGCAAGCGCTTAAAATAGAAGCAGAGTACAAGCATTATATTTCTGGTAAGCAACTATTTTATAGTCAAGTATTCATAATATTTTTTTTCTTTCTTATTTTCATTTGGAATCTATTATCAACTTGTAGCATAAAATTAGGAAAAGTAAATTACGCTGTAAATTAATTTAATGTAAACAATATATTACGAATATTTACTTATGTTTTAACAATTATTTCAGCCGTGATTCCAGCAGGCGTGAGTGTGGCATACATATGCACACAGGTGAAAGCCTCAGTAGAAGAGGAACAGAGCAAAGCACTGTGGATTCCTAGAGGAGGTCCCTGACACAAAAGGGGGGGTCCCCACAAGCCGCAGTGGAAGTCAATCTAAATTCCACCAGGGGGCCCTTACGTCGTGCATATTTGCGACAATTGCTATGCAAAATCAGTTTTTTAATTTATGGTCTCTTGATTTCGGAAGACTATCACGCGCTTCACAGATTTTTTTGCTTAACAAAGTATCGCTCAATTTGGTTGTGATAAGACGAATTCTTGCAAACTATTTTGTTTTAGCGCATTTAACTCGTTGAATTATCAATATAAAACAGGTACATACAATATTTCAATTTTTGTCAGTTTTTTTCAGTTATTATTTAAAAATTATTATTTTGCTGACTTTTAACTATACAAAGTTCTTTTTACATTTATCCGCATCAGTGTGTCAATATATAGCTCATCTGTGATCACTATAAATCTATTGACTAATCTATAGAAGCTACAAACTAAATTTATTTTTGAAGAATTATAACGTGTTATTGGAATTGACTTTTTTGACGAATATTGCAAGTAAATGATATTAATAGAAATATCATAAAATTGGTGCCTGCTATTTCAAGTATCTACTTGCTCATTATTAATTGGCTAAAAATAACGAACAATTCGTGTTCAATAGTCAGATTGCTTTGATCTCCGATCGCGTATGAACAAGCGATGCAACGGGAAATGCAGCTAAAGTTGATATGATTAATAATTCGTATGAGACCATAAATGGGTTGTTATTAAAAAAAATACTCGTCGTATTATGGCCCGTTACAAAATTGGTGGATTAATATTGACGAATTGATGTTGTTGATTAGAAAAATAAGTTATAGTCGTTTTAACGGCTATTACATTGCTAATTAACCCCTCAGACCAAATTGATGTACTATATATATAAGTGAAAGAAAAAGAAGGCTATTTGTATATAATTTATTTACGTAAATTTACATATGTACTAATTTAGTTTGTATGATTCCTTTATGTATTATTTTATATAGCTTTTTAACTGTGTAATTATTGAGAGTTAAACAATTCATCTCCCACACGATGTAAAGTTTGAGGGGTTAAGAAAATATTAATATTAGGGAATTGACAAGAGGATGTCAGTGGGAAGGATAAAATTGACGTAAACAGTACTTCGTTTTTGTCGAATTGTAAATACTAATATCGAAGTACAGTATCTACCAGTCAAACATAGTCGACGAGATCGAAAATAACATTCGCGATTTAAATATAATAGTACGCATGATCGACTTTCTTATCGTCTAAGATCGGAGTTTCTGCGGATTTATACCATTTCTATTTTTAAGCGAGCTATTCTTACACGAGCTTATATATAAGTGTTTCATACGATGCGGTTACACGAGTTCGAGCTACACACACACATATATACTTTTAAAAGTACGTCGTAGATCGCAAGAGATACAAGAGTATCCGAAAGTGGATACATGTATCTTTGTACGTTCTAATAATATTATTTGTAAATATGACTTTTCTACAATACCGAGAGATATATTTGATTTAAGAAATGTAATTAATTTTATAATACGATCGTTTAATACGTATGAGTTAATGTATCTGTACCTGAACCTTGATTTCTTCGTAATTTGGTAGACGTGTTTTAAGGATAATAATTTGAATATGTCTTTTTACGTGATGAATAAGGATACACGGAAATGATATATTTATAGCAATAGCATTTAATTGAAAATAATCTTGTTAATTTAAAATATTTATGAAACAAATGTATTATACTCTTGTTTTAATAAAATGTTATTTGTTTCAGTAATACTGTTATTAAATTAACAAGATTATTTATAATTAAATTGGCTAATGTTGCTAATGCGATATATTATTTTTTTCTCGTGTACATATAATACATTTATAAATATTGGTATTATCTACATTACGACAAGAGCGAAAGGAAACATTTTCTTCTTTGCTAGAAATATCTTCGATATTACAAGAAATCAATTTTTCATTACGAATCATCTTACGATGCAATTAAATGCAGTTCGGTACTTGTGATAATACGAATAATAATCATCTATGCGAACAAGTCGACGATTTAGAAGTATCCGTCGCGTATCACATAGAAAAGAGTGAGAACAAAGGGATACAGAGAAATGTCAAACAAACTTGTTGGTTTCACGCGAAATTTTGTTTTCTGCGAGACAATATATCTAGACGTAAGTTAGAAGTGAGACCAAAAACTAAAGGATTACTAACGCTAATTCCTAAGGATTGTGATTAAACTTATGCGTCCTTCGGTAATAAATATGTTTAACACATAGAGAGAACACGTAGATATACTTTTTGATATATTCGGAGAGAGTTTGATTTGTGCGTAGTTAAATATTTTCTCAAATGATCCGCACACTACAGAACACGCGCTTGTATTTAATTGTATACATAGGGACCAAAAACATTGATTGATGTTTTCGAAACCATAAAAATATGAAAAAAAAAAATAAATTATAGTTTATACAGAAGCTTTTAAAAAAATGGACAACATAAAAAAATAAATGATTTCTAGTTATCTGAGAAAAACACTTACTGGTACGAGAAAAATATGTAACATACATGTATATTGCGAGTGAAATTTGTTATTTTTAATCGGAGGCTTCAATCCTCGGATATTGCTCTCCTTCCAAACTGTTTCGAACGATGTTTGTCGTATGGCGAAAACAAAATTTCAGTAAATAAACTTGATAGTTCCGAGAAAACCGAGAATAAAGACGGAAAACGAGGAGAGAAAGAGAAATAGGAAAATTAAAGCTGATTATTCTCTCAATCACAGCACTGTGATACATATAGTATATTACTTCAATGACATATCAACTTATAACAATCCTTTTACACACACACACACACACACATATTACATATATATATATATATGTGTGTGTAATACATATTTTGGGCAATATTTATACATAAATATGTACGTTACAGACAAGTGTATAATAATACACTTTCAATATTTTTCATCGTAAGCACGTGCTTTTGATGCAATAATTAAATTAATGTATGCGAATATGTATGTATAAAGATGTAAAAGGATATCAGCGATTTTGGGGACAAGTCAAATCTGATTGCGACCATGCCATAAAGATGCGTCACACTTAATGCTCGTATTCATCATTTCATCCTTGTTTAACATTTGATGACAACAAAAATGAAATGATATTTGTGAACGTTACTACGGTTAAGTAAAACGTATTTTAAGGAGACTGGAAGATCAAATTGCTTGAATTTCATGCTTCTGTTTGTAAATATAACAAATAACTTTAATTCATTTAATCCTTTTCAAACCAGATAAATGTATATTGAAGTAAAATTTTAAGTGATATTTGTGTATTACAGCGGACAAAAAATATTTTTTTACTACAAAATTATTGATATAAATGTATGAAACATATAGGCAGAGTATAATCTATTTCTTAAATATATTGTCATTTTGCAGTGATACATGATCATTTTGCAACTAGACTTCCTTTTATCCAGTCAATACAAACTTTATTACGAAATGTGCAGGATATTTGCAGCTATTGCATGAATTAGAATAAAAAAGAATAGAAATAAACAATACAGTGCATATTATTAACAAGAAATTGATCTTTAAATGTTTTAAGAAAAATTAATATAGAATAGAAAGTTTATAGGATTGTCTCTGAATTCATATGAGAAACAGATATATATAAATAATGTTATTTTAAAATTTTAAGTTAAGGCTTAGATTTTGAGATATTGCGAAAAGTTGAAAAATCAAGTTTATAGTCAAATGCATTTAAAATTTTAATATAATTTTCATATTATTTATTTATATTAATAATATTTAGACATTAGACTGTAAAAGCAAGTTTTTAAAGCTATATTCCCTCTCTTCAATTTTATTGTTTCTTTTTGATGTTGTTTTTTGAACGTTTCTGTGCATTGTCTGTGTTGCAAACACGATTGCCACCTTTCGATAAGTATGGAGATCTACGATTCTCCTGTTAAAGATCCTACTATCTTGCCAAAGATCAATTACTACGATCAAAATTGTTACTGTCTTAGAGTGCTACTTTATTTTACTTTGAAGTATGTCGTAATATCTTGCAATTAAATTGATATTTTATGATATGCCCCGATATTAATTATGTATATGCAATGTACAAATGGATACCGTATAGAAGCAAAAATAATTTCATAATAAAAATATTACATATTTCTATGATCTTGAATCCCTGAGAGGGCTCTTATGAAGCATTTGTATCACTTGTCACATTGTCATGCTCGAGCACGCAAAATATCAGCTTCGTGATTAGTAAACTTTAATCGCTATTCATTTAAAAACTATTGTAGCCTCGACATTTTCATATTAAGATTTTTGTTTTAGAACGCTCTAAAGAATCCGTTCTTAAAAGAACGAGAGATTGGGGGACATTCTGTATTAGTAATAAAAAAAAGATAAAAAATATTGTCTTATATACAAAATTAAAAAAAGAAATGACAGTTACTACCAGTCAGAATGTATATAAACGCGTTTAATAGATCGAAATCAGGTAAAACGCGTATCTCATTTTGTCTCGATTCGTCGTTCTATATTATCGGCTGTAATTTCTGTAATTTTTGGAATTTTAATGTAAAATTTTAGAATTAGACATAAAATGTTAGTACTTTCGAAAAATGCAATTACCTTCCAGTCCTCTTAAATTGCAATAATCAAATTAAGCAAGTCTCTTGATTGCATCTTGCTTAATAAAATCGAGCTTTTCAGAACAGTCGTTTAATAATTTATTACAGTGAGAATTGCAAAATCGCTTTCAAATTATTTAATAATAATTCTAAATTACTTCATAAAATAAATTTGTCTTGTTCTCTAACGAGAGACGATCACGCGAGTTATATCAACGTGCAGATTACGACTGGTTCCCATTCTCCGCTGTTTTTTGTAACAGACAACTTGCCTGTGCCACTTGTCTCAATGCATTAATCGTCTGATACATGATAACTAATCAGTTCTATCGCCGTTCTTAGAGCATCAATTGTCTCCTCGTCGTATTTATATCGTCCTGTCGGTTTATATTA